TCCGTCCGTCCGTCCGTCCGTCCGTCCGTCCGTCCGTCCGTCCGTCCGTCCGTCCTTCCCTCCCTCCCTCCCTCCCTCCCTCCCTCCATCTTCCTCTTCCTCTGACGTCAGGTCGCAGGGGCAACATCTTGAACAGGGAGGTCCAGACATCTCTTTCCACAGCTCTTCTGGGAGGACTCCCAAGGAGTTCCCAGGCCAATTGAGAGACATAGTCTCTCCAGCATGTCCAGGCTCTTCCCTTAGGTCTCCTTCTAGTCGGACATGCTTGAAGCACCTCCCTAGGGAGGTGTCCAGGGAGCATCCTTGCCAGATGCCCGAACCAGTGGTTCTACTCCGAGTCTCTCCTGATAACTGAACTTCTCACCCTGTCTTTAAGGGAGAGCCCAGCTATCCTGCAGAGGAAACTCGTTTCAACCTCCTATATCCACGATCTCAGTCTTTCGGTCTCTATCCAGAGTTCATGACCAGAGGCGAGGGGAGGAACGTAGACTGACCGGTAAACAGAGAGCTTTACCTGACAGCTCAGCTCCCCCTTCACCACAACGGACCGGCACAAAGTCCGCAATACTGCAGATGCTGCACCAGTCCGTCTGCCGATCTCACGCTCCATTCTTCCCTCACTCGTGAACAAAACACACCAAACACACATGCTGTAAAATCAGGACTGGGTGTTTTAACGAACTTAGTCTTTCACGATGACTGTACAGAACGTCCTAAAATTCTGAACTCGCTCATTTGAAGAAGCTCTTTGTCATTTCCTGTCACATCCAGGCGACACCAGATCTCCTGAGAGGTCAGCAGGAGCTTTCACAACAAACACACGAAGAGACCGCTAAACAGATTCTCTTCAGTTACCTTAAAGACGGGTAAGATGCTCACACTGTTCAGTTTTCTTCTCATTCAGTTGTTTTTGTCTCGCTTTTTATATTTGTGACAGTAAGAACGTCACGTGATCATATTTTAAAGTGTTTTGAGCGAACGGGTGTAGTGTTCACAAGAACCCAGCATGAAATGAAACGAGACACTCTTCTGTAGAAGCAAATGTTTATTTTCCCGTCTGTCTGCCCAGAACTGTTTTAGATTAAATGTAAAGAATGTGCTCCCCTTGCTCTCTCATACAGAACGATTCTTTTCACTCGTTAATAATTTATTTTCTCGCAAGATTTAATTTTCTCGCCCTCTGCCCAGTGACGAAGTAAAGTGAACAAAACACAAACTTGTTCAATAAAGCCCAAAACTGCATGCACGACAAAGAAGACCGGACAAGTTTGACGAGTTAAACTGACTCATCAGCAGCTTTTGGAATAATCTTAAGAAGGAAAAACAAAGCAACCTGATCAAACTTTCCTCCTGCAGGACCGTTTTTTTAATCGCCCAAGCAAAAGTAAACGTGGAAAATCTTCCACGCCACGTTTGCAGCCTTTCTTCTCTGCTCGACACACGCTTAGCTCACAGCAAAGACGTAAAGTAGATCACAGGTGAAATGTAAGATAACGTTTTATTTTCTAGAAAATGCGTCGAGTGCCATCGATCCTTTAGGGGTTTGTCTTTATCAGCAAATGTAATCATGTTAAAAAGTAATATTACCTGCTGCTGTTGTTTCCTGGAATGTTTTATGCAACATTTTGGAGCACCTTTTGTAAAAGTTTTCCTTTCAGTTCATGGTTTTACCCTGAGAACAAGTTTTCTGGCTGCCACAGTTCCTGCAGCTGCTACGGGTTTTGGGTTTTGCAGCGAGCTCAGGAAACTGTTTGGGTGTGTCGGCCGACGGGTCAGGAGTCAGAGGACAAAGGAAAGGAAACACAGATGGAAGTTCAGCGGCTGAAACTGAGCTACGATTCCCAAAGCTCAGAAGACGAACCTTCACCAGCAGAGCTTTTGGAGTTTTAATGAAAATCATCTGCTCGAGGAGGAGGAGAGCACGATGGGGGAGTTCGTCAGTCCTGAAATTTATCAAGATAACATATGGCTGTGTCGTTTAAAAAATGTGTAACTCCAGTTTTGTTGATTTCAAATGTTTTGACGTTAGCTAAATGACTAAGTGTTCGTCTGAGTCGAGAAAATCCTCCCTTCTGTGGTTTTTCACGTCTGTTGATAAACTTGGAATTAGACTTTTTTTTTTTTTTAAACACCAAATGCACAAATGCAACTTTTGAAACTTAAGAGTTTACATTAATCCATTAATTTTTTGGTACCACTTTACAATAAGGCTCCCCTTATAGATGGCAAATAATAGTTTATAGATGCATTATTAATTCCTTTATAAACACTTGATAAATATTAATAATTGTTTATTATGCATTAATTAAGTGCAATAAAGAGACTAAAACAGACCAGTTTCTTGCCAAATAGTGAGCCAGATGTGCCTGTTGAAAATCCATTGAAGGGGCTGCTTTGTACCAAATAACAAAAACTCTATGAGTCAAATATTATCTCCTCATTTCAGTTTGTAGTCCGAGAACATTTACAGCTGAAATGGAACAGTCCCATTTTGTTTTGTTCTTCATAAAACGACAGCATTTAGTAAAAATCCCTCCTATTCATAGGTTTTGTGTTCATTGGCTTACAGTTGGTTGGACGTTCTAATGAAGCTGTTTGTGCTGTGAGGTGTCACATCAAAGCAGAATGATCCTTCCTGACCCGCTCTAAGCCGGGATTGGACTGCTTTGTTCTCAGAACAGACTTGTTTTTTTATTTTACCCACGCTCACAGAACACGGAGAGAAGTGTTTCCGAACTTTATTTTAATCATAATATTAATATTTTGTCTACAGAAGCAGCGATAATGACGAAACGACGAAGAAAAAGGTCAACCTTGTGTTTGAGAAGATTCAGACACTGAAGTCTCGAGCCACAGCAAGCGCACAAAGCGACAGCAAAGTGAGTACCGTGTTTTTCGGTCTATAAGTTGCAGTTTTTTTGTATAATTTACGTGTCCTGCGACTTTTACGCTGAACCGACTTATTTATGGATTTTTTTTCCATATTTATATTTTGAGGTCGTTTTCATTCATTACGACTGAAAATATTGAACACTACTATTTTCAGCCGCTAGATGGCACGAGTAGTATGGCATGCCATTGTGTCACGTAATAGGTAAAAGTGGCTATTAATGACACAATCAGCTTGCCATAGACTGACACCTTCATCCATATCACCTGGAGCAACCGTCAAATCAGCTTCATTTCGCTGCACTGCCCCAGCAAAATGCATCTAATTTGACCATTAAAGTGCATTTATTAAAAGTTCAACTGAGATACACTTTTGTTATAAAGTAGAGCAAACAAATAATTGTTTTAGGTGCTTATCTTGTTAAATTTTAAAGAAATGTGCAGCGTTCCTCCTTCCTGATTTCCTCCCTGTCTGCGCGCTCCCCGAGCACCGAGGCAGCGAATACTTTTGAAATGCAGCTGATTTGACCGTTAAAGTGCATTTATTGAGGAAAAGTTAAACTGAGACACCTTTACTATAATTGTGAGCAAGCAAAATAATTGTTTTTAAGTGTTAATCTTGTTAAACTCCTCTCGTGCACGCTCTCGCGGTCTCCATTTGGCAGCCAATCGATTTTTGGCACACAGGCCCACGTTTCCGGATGGTCACCTCTGACGCGTAAAAAATGTGACGCGTCAGCGGTGACTCATAATAGATACGAGTTATACGGCGAAGCGACTTATTTATGGATTTTTCTACGTTATTAGTCATATTTGGACTGATGCGACTTACAGGTATAAGGAGGTGCGACGTGTACGGCAGAAAATACGGTATTTATTTTCTTCAGCGCTGCATACAGATGGCTTTATTCTGTTTATGCCAGCTACGTGTCTAAAGAACATGTTTAGCTTCAGCTGTTCTGCAGAAAATGACTGATGAGTTTGAGATAAGCTTCCAGCAGAGCCGCTCAGCTGACTCAGATTGGTTCGTTTTAAGGCGAGCTTGTTTAAGCAGAACATTTTCAGCTGACTAATTGACTGCTATCAGTTGAATTTCTAAAAACTGACTCACATATGTCCTTTTATTTTATTTACAATGTATTAAGAAAAATCTACCAGCTCTAAACCCAATAAAATGTTTTTATTTCAGTCATTGGACCTTGCTGCACAGACCAAAGAACTTCAGGAGCAAAACGCTGAACTAGAACAAGAGATCGTGGAACTGAAGACACAGCTGGACGAACAAATAACGGTAGCATCAGTAAAACTGCAGGTGTACCCCTGATGCCAGTCCGCTTACGTTGGCATCTCGCATTATTGCTGAACTTGTTGTTCATGAATATCCTTTAATCATAGTGTTGCTTAAAAACTTATTGTTTAAAGAAACATTTTGAGACTGAGTTTGGCTCTAGAGATGGCACAGCTTCATATAAATGGACATTTATACAGACGGATTGGTAAAAGAACCATGAAAACCTCCTTACCTTACTGCTTAACATGGATGTAAACATAAATAAAAACTTTTTTCCTGTCAGAAGAGTCAGGCTGACAGGAGGACAGCAGCAGGTCTGAAGGAGCTGCAGCAGGAGCTGCAGCGCAGCCAGGACGAGTGCAAACGTTTGAAAGACAAACTAACAAAGACCGAGGTCAACCTGCAGACTACAGTGGAGGAGTAAGTGAAGAGTCACACTTCTGGAAGAGTCAGTAATGATTAACCAACTAGTTTACCTTCTTGCTTTTAACCGTTTTGTCAGTGCAGGTTTTACTTCTGTTATATTTTCTTCAGCTGTGTTGCTTCGAGCTAAAACGCTCACACTGGACTGTTTGCTCCAGTAAACAACTGAAATGTTGGAAAACCGGTGAACTGTGTTTTATTGCTGCTCTTTTGACCTCGATTGACCTTTGAAGGATTCTGCACAAAGGGAGGTCGGCTCAGCATGCACCTCCCAGTCTTGGGGCCTCCTCGTTTGTTTGAGTCTCTTTATTAACACGCTTATCACGACTGCTTCAATATTCAATGATAAAACCAACAATTCTGCTCCAGTTCTGCTTTTGTATACAAATCCAACACATCTGACATATTTTTAGATTGATATTTACAGATTGTTTCATTAGAGCTTCACAAAATATCTAACTAAACTTAATAGTTTGATATTATGAAACTGATATTTTGAGTGCTGTTGCCTGTTTTCTTGTGCAATCCAACTGGTTTTGTGTGCGGCCTCACATGTTCCAAGAGAAAACTGAGGTGAACCTAAAGTCAGTGTTTTCTATGAAAGTCAACAAGAGGTAGATGTTCTGCTTAAATCCACGTGACTGTGAGAGTTTCTTTAAAGTGTCCCACATCATTTACCACCCCCACCTGACATTATGTTTAGGTTTAGCCTCTGTAGGTCCTGTTCAAAACTAGCCCAGGTGCATCCACTGATATGTGCCAGTTAAGGTGCAGGTGTGCCTAAATGCTGTGTGAAGAGAACCTGTACTGTTGTCATATGTTTTTTTTTTCCTCGTTAGGCTTTTCCAGGTAAAGATGGAGAGAGAGCAGTACCAGACGGAGATTCGAGACATGCAGGATCAGCTGTCAGAGATGCACGATGAGCTGGACTCAGCCAAGAGGTCAGCCGCTGATGAAGAGAAGGACATCTTGATGACGGTAAGCTGCAGCGTAACAAACATTTTAAAGGTTGCTGTAGACGACAACGAGGTGCTCTCAAGTCTGTATCTGTTGAACCTGCTGAAGCCAACTTCACACTTGAAGGATGTTTATTTGATTTTAATCTATAACATTTAAAGAATGCACCCCAGCTGCTTGTCAGACACGTTCAACAGCCTAAATGAGCTGCACCAGCACGTCATTTTGAGTGTTTGTGTGGGTTTTTTTACTCTGCAAAATGCAAAAATCAAAAACAAACCTTTTGTTGATTTGTCATATTAACTAGAGACTGGCAACAATCTGACAGAAAAAATCTGAGACTACAAGCCTGAATGTCCAGAAAACACTCAGAATTCAGTGAAACTGCAACAGAAATGCTCTTTTTTTAACATTCACATCGACGTAAGATACTACTCTGCTTATACTGACCGTAGTTTGTGTTTTTAAAATAACATGCATGACAAAGTTTAAACGTTGTATCATCAGCTCATAATGGGATAACTGCAGTCGAGAAAAATAAAAATGTTGACGTTAAAGACAAAAACGGTCTTTTCTGCACGTTTGGCTTCACAAATTAACCGAACTTACAAAATGCAACAATCTGCCAAACTCTTGTCTGCTTTTCTAAACTTGAACAAAGATAAAAGCTCCCATCATGTCGCCATTTTTTTCCCCAGGACATGATGCAACTCAAGGTGGAGATGCAAGAAGTTCTCCTGGCTAAGGAGGAACAAGAGGAGTTGCTGAGGAGGCGAGAAAGGGAGCTGGCAGCTCTTAAAGGAGCCTTGAAGGAGGAAGTTTCATCTCATGATCAGGAGGTGGACAAGATGAAGGAGCAGTACGAGAAGGAAATTAGCAGACTGCAGACATCTTTGGAGGACGCCAAGCAGGTAATCGTCCTCCTGTTTGAGTCCCCGACTCTTTGACTTCCTTCACCTCCTCATGTTGCAGTTCTCCTCCCCCCTCTGGGAGAGCAGGATGCCAGAGAAATGTGTAGATAAGCACATTATCAGGAGAGTGCCGTGTGTTTGTCACCACAGCCTGTTATTCTTCGAAGTAACTTTATTTGAACTGTTTTACGTTTCATGTATGAACATCAAAATACGGAGACACGTGGAGACGTTGCATCCGAAGTGACGTTAGTCGTTTACATCAGTGTAACTTATTCTCTGTTTATTTAAATACATATGTGTCTGAAAATATTTGGAGCTAAAGAAGTGACTGACTTTTAATTAACCCCTAAATTCCAGTTCTGCCAGCGTAGTTTGCGCATCGTGACGTGCAGCTGAGTGTCTAAAGACGGTTAGTGAGGTTGTAATAAAACACTTTAACCACCTCAGTGTCTTATAATGATCTAAATGCGCTGTTGGATGAAAAGAAAAGGTTCATATTCTGTGGTTTGTTTAGTTGAAATGGATATTTAGGTCCAGCAGGTTGAATTTTATGACCTGAGCAGTTTGGTAAAATAGAAACAAAGTGCTTAGATGTAACTTTTAATTTTCACAAGACACTTTTTAAACGTGTTCAATGTGGAGGGGGTTTGTCATCTTTCTCTGATTCTTTTTAAATACACTTTTGTCCAGGAAGAGTGATGCTGAAGCACAAAACTTTAGACATTTACAGTAGTCCCTCGCTACTTCGCAGTTCGTTTATTGCGGACTCCCTCTATCGCAGTTTTTCAAAACAAGACTGGACATGACACACAAGTGGCTGATTGATGGACGAGCCGCACGATCTGCATGGACTTTTTTATTTAAAATAAATTATTTTAAATTATTTAGCACCTGCTGCACCTTTGTGCAGCCCACACTGCAGGGTAAGCTTCCTGCTGCAGCTGATCAGCTGTCCTCCGTGCAGTGTTGAAGTGGGCGTGGCCAAGAACGCTTGCAGGTGGCAGAGAGCTGAAATCCTGACATTCTGTGCACTTTTAGAGCTTTTAGAGTTTAGAAACATTGTTTAGAATATTGAAAGTGTGTGGGAAGGGTTTAAAACACCTTAATTTATACATACATACAGACATACATATATATATATATATATATATATATATATATATATATATATATATATATATATATATACTACTTCTTCTATTCCTACTTCACAGTTTTTAATTATCGCGGGGCTTCAGGGTACGGATCCCCCACGATAAACGAGGAGCTTCTGCATCTCAACAAGGTCACCATTGTAACTTCATCATCACAGCTGATATTGTGGAAGGTCCCACTTATTTTTTAGTAAATGCACATCAGAGTTAAAACAGTTGTCAAAGCATTTAGGAGTTTAAGCTGTTTATACAGCGGAGAAATAAGAGTTAATATTGGACAAGTGGGAGAAGCAGGGGCCTAAGTTTGGAGCAGAGGCGCATGTTTGTCTGCAGGCTGCTGTGTAAACTCATGTGTGTCCTGTTTCTCTCAATGACTGGAAGTTGTCCTTGTTCTCGGCTTCCTGCCGGCACGGTGGGGGTTCGCAGCGCCGCTCTGCAAAAGAGGTCTGAAGACATTTGCTTTTGTTGAACAAAGTTAACATCGGGGGATTACCCTCAGTGGTTGGTAAACACCTGGCAACATAAAGTCATTGTGTGTTTTTGAAGATATAAACAATCATTTAATTTAAGCTTTTTTAAATCTGTTTCAATACGTGCTTTGTTTTTGAAGATGCAATTGTTACGATACAAGAAGTTTATTACAATATAACAGTGAAAACACATTAAAAACATAATAACATTCTTATTTTGCCTCTCAAAAACAACAAACCAGCACCCTAAGAATTACCCAAGCTTATTAAAGAAAACTGTTGTTCACAATTATGTGTGGAAACATTTAATACATTATTTTTGTACTTTTTTATACATTTTTATATAAACATGTTGCGTTAGTGTGCACATGATTATAAATGGGATTAGAGAAATGATGTTGCAGTTGTTGCTATAAGAGCTCTTTAAAAATTGTTGCATTTGATCATGATTTTAAAATTATTGACCACTCTATTAACGCAGGGATACTTGGATGAGTGACAACTTTTATCTAAGATCTTTATTAATGTACTGGGTTTGATGGCCTGGAAACTGGGAAAACGTTCAGATATGTTAAGATGCCAGCTGACGAGCAACATTAGCAGAAAATAAAATTCTTCAACAAATTTCATCCCTACAAGACGTGCATTTTCAAATTGGAACGATCGGATTAAACCACTGTTTGTTTCCTGTCCTGACATATTAAATGATCTGGTTTTCAATCTGAGCCTATTACGTAAACAAGAAATTTTATGATAAAGTGAGTTTTTTTTTCATCTTTTTTACAATATTTATACTTCACAACTAAGCCTGACATGATAACAAGTTTTGCTGGGCGATTAATTGTCTCAGAAATTATTGCGATAAACGATAATATTGTTTGGAGACTGTTTTAAACTAATGTAATGATAATAACATAATGATGCATGTACATCCTCTCAAAGATCAATAAACTTTAATTTCAAAAGAACTTAACAATAGAACTGTAAAATACACAAAACAACCAAAAACAAAAATAAAATGGACTCTCAGTCTCCGTTAGCAAAAATTGCACTTGAATAAAAACTAAATACAAAAAAACAAAAACAAGATGGAAATAAAAACTACATTTAGCCAAAACGGCACGCATTATGAAGTCACTAAACTACCGGCCTACCGGTTGTAGTTTTTTCCCCATCTGGGAAAACTAACTTTGGATGCTTGTGCTTTAGATGCAGGTGCAAGTTGCTTTATTTGCTGCTTTTAGCTGCTACCGTTTTATGACAAATACGACATACACCGGCTCGCAAAGGTTCAGCGGTTCGCCTCGGTCATTCGGTTTGAATCCGAAGTGCACCCACGCTGACGCTGCGTTCAACTTTGAAAGTACTTCCATTTCGTTTTTCCCCCAATATCAAATATCGTTTCTTTAGCTTGCTGACTCCTCATGAGGCTCTAATGCTGCAGAGGTTGTTTTTTTTAAATTACAAACGTGTCGGCCAGGGGTATATTAACAGGTACAAAGGTAATATTATTCAAGTATAAAAAAAGAACAAGGTAATTATAAAAAATTACAAAAAGTAAAACAGTCTAAAAAGATACAAAACAATCTATTTACAGGTTATATTCACATAAAGTTTTTCCACAACTGCGATGTTTTTCATTGCCTTTTTGTTGTCAAGTCCTTTAATAGTGGTGCTGTATATGTAAAGTTACTTGCTGAAGTGGGTCATGCTTGGTTTGGAGTTTGACCACTTTTTCTTGTGAATGTGAAATTTTCCCAGGACAAGTAGAAGTTGGGTGAAGTAAATCAAGTTTTTATCCAATTGAGCTGGACGCCCAATCCCAAATTGCTCCCCGGACGCTTATCTAGCTGCCCACTGCTCCACCTGGTTGTATCCCAGGTGCGATGGGTTCAATGCAGAAAACTAATTTCGTCTTTGTACGGAAACATACAACGATGACAACACGTAGCACGTTATACTTTATGTCCTTATCGTCGAAGCATAATAATATGTCTTTCTCTGCAAGTTGTTCAGTTTTCTGTCGTATGAGTTGTTGTACATCTGTCCAGAATGACTTTGTGTGATTACATCGATAGAATAAATGAGAACTTGTTTCCATGTGTAGTTCACAAAATGTACAAGAATAGTCAGTATCCAGTTTGAATGTTTCCAGTGTTTAACAGGATATACATTATGATTGATTTCATATGAAACCTCTTTAACTTTATTTGTTATGCAAAGAGGTACAAGACGCTGCGCCTTGGCTGCTACCTGACGTGATCGTTCACTCCCCGAGGGGTCAGTGAAGAGCACTGGAGTTGAGCTTTTTGTCATCCAGTGTTCAGTAGAACGAGAGAGACGCCAAGAAACAATAAAGCCGATAAATGAAAATTATTGACCTCATTTTAATTTATCACTCGATTAATTGATTTATCGTTTATCGCGACAGGCCTTTTCACAACGTTGTAATTCTCGACGTAAACGAGTAAATGTAAATGAGAGCCGTGTTGTTCGTTGGTATCAGGTGATGCGGTGAATGAGTCTACTGTTTTATTTTCTGTTATCGGACTGATCTGCATAGCTGTTGCTTCATAAAGAGAGTGCAGAGGTGAACATACCTCCAGCAAAATGGTCCGACCCATGTTTGTACTGGCTGAGGCTCAGATGGTCTGCGCTACCGGCATCGATCAGCCGTCGCCGTCGGGAAAATTCCCAAGTTTGTTCTCTTTGGTTAGTCTGCAGAAATTCAGAAGCATGACTTTTGATCTCCGTCAGCCCAGTTCGAGCAGTAACAGCTGAGTAAAGTTTGTCGCTGTGGTTGAATCATCACAGGTTCCCTCTGTGTGTCTATTCACTGGAGGTTGTCTTCCACCACGGCAGCCGAACTGTGCGTAAACAAACTGTGATGTCACTGCAGAGCGGCCTGTAATTATACTTTGAGTAATGGAAATATGCAGGAAGATCGTAACAGGTCGGACGGTTATATTTGTGCCGGGAAGTCGGATGAGGTAAGAAGGTCAGTGTGCACATCTTTATTTTTGCAGCTCCATCTCCAACCAAATGTGCTGTTTCTCTCTGTCCTGATGTTTTCTGGTGGTCGTGTTGAGAACGCTGGAAAGTGGAGCAGTAAGTTGCTCTGTGTGCAAATTAATTGTTGTGGCAGGTCATTACTAATCTAATGAGCTGCGGTTTCTGAGTCGCGTCGTGTCCTCTCTTCTTCCTGCGCCCTGAAAAAGTGGGGGTAATTGTGGACCTTGGTCAATAATGAATGATGAGTTTGTTTCACACAATAATGGCGGTGGGGGTTGGGGCATGCTGAAGAAGTGGGTCAGTATGCCGTAGGAAAGGGGGTGCACGGCTGACCCCCATAAAAGAAGTTGGAGGCCTGTTT